ATCCAAGAGCAAGAATTCATTGGTGGAATTAAACATTCATTCTTGTGATCCGGCAACCTGATCAATGGAGAAAAATAATACAGTAATTTAGAGAAATGCTAGTGAAAATAAAATATAAATATTTTTTTAGAGTAGTAAAATTAAGTGTTGAATATAAAGAGGTTATTGGAGTACTCAAAATTTTTTATTCTCTAAATTTATTGATTCTTTTTAAATCGAATAAAGAATATTTTGTATTTTAAGGGTATCTCGAAAAAGAAAAGATTCTTGAATCGAGTTCAACCCCATTTCCGCACACTTCATAAAGGCTCTATTTGGATGGATGGTCTCAATTATTTCTGCATTAAAGAGCTTATGGGGCATGCCATAACTACCGCTATTAAAAGTTGATGCCACCGAATTCATGCGTCTTTGTCAGGTGCTCAAAAGCATGATCCAGAAGATGAGTCCCATCTTCATTCGCTTCTTCAAGACATGTTTTTCTTTTTTTTTTTTGGTGAATAATTGTGATATATGTGCTGTCGTTAAATTTTATCAATAGTAATTTTAAATGTCATACTATATTTGACGTCAACTATACAAAATATTAATACATTTTTTGAATTTTCCATCACAATAATAATGAGTATTTGTCTCAATAAATTTGCAATTGACTATATGAATTCTTTTTCGTTATTCAATTGGTAGAACAATTAGCCATCTTTTATGACATAATACGGAAACTATCACAGTGTGACGACTTGACCCCAAATCCTATTAAATTTATGTAGAGAGGGTCTTGTTAACAATCACCTACTCCACTCTTAATTAAATTACTTCTCATAATCTAAGATTAATTCTGCATGAAATCGACTATAACGAGATTTTAATCATTGTTCAAATTTTGGGATCGTGAATGTAATTTCAATAATATAAGGGACATGGTCGTGATATTTGATATTCTTTGTGATTTGACATTAATTTATTGTGTAGTTTATCAATTAATTATTCGCTAATTATTTTTAGAATAATGCTCGTTGCAGTCGCTCACTGCAATAGTCGTCATATGTGGTACACAGATGTCAAGTGTGTATTTGATGCATTAAATGTGGTAAAAAAAATTACCACATTAATGCATTTAATAGCTACATGCCATGTGTATGTCACATAGGGCGACTGCTGCAGTGAGAGACTGCAAGTAGCATTACTTTTATTTTTATCCACCATTACGTTTGTCTATATTATAAAGTCATTTTTTTTTATCTTTTGCAATCGTATCATCTAACAAAATATAAAAGAGGCAGTTATGGGTACTGTTCACAAGCCGTGAGCCGAGCCGAGTCAAGCCAATTGGCTTTAATGCTCGGCTCGGCTAGGCTCTTTTTTTTTTAATGTTTGATTCAGTATTTTAAGTTACAGATATTCGTTTTAAGCGATTAAAATTTGTTGTAAATGTTGAAGTGCAGTCATGATAAATATATGATCGATAAATTTTAAATATCAAAATAATTTTACATTAATTGTGAAACATAAAGTCGTGATTGTTCATATTTCTTTTCAATCCCAACCTCATTTCAGTGTCCTTTTTTCGAACTTTATTTTCTTAGAATTTTTCGTTTGATTCGATATTTCACAATATGAATATCCATTTGGATCGATTTCAATTTTTTTTTAAAAAAAACTTAAAATGTGATAATAATAATATATTGTCGATTAAGTTAAAATATAAAATTGGTTTTATGGCTCGGCTCGGCTCGGCTAAGCTCTTTTTTTTTTTTTTACATTTGATTTGTTTTTTTTTAAATTTCTTTGGGTTTTTAATACATACGCTATTACGTACTCAACTACATCATGACATGTGCATTGCATGTGCTTCTGACTAGTGTAATTATAAGAATAATAAATTTGTTATTTTCATTTGTGTTTTGGATGTAATTAATTAATTAAAAAAACTTACACCACATTGCAAGACAGTGCTTTATAGGTAGTTTTATGAAGTTTCTTAGGTAGGACGGTGGTGTTCGGGTTGTGCTTGGGCAATGGTGGTTTGGGTGGCAGCAGGTCGTCGTGATAGGGCTTTGATCGGTGGCAAGCTGGGTCTTTAGCTAGTTGAGGGCAGCGACCGAGGTATGGCTGGGGCTAGTATGGCCAGCCTCCGGTTGCGGTGGCTGATGTTGCTTGTACGACGGCCTGGGTCATTGTGTCGTTTTGTTGTTCTCGCGAAGTCGGAGCTTCCAGGGCATCGGCGGCGGGGGCCTTCGCCGGAGAGGACCTTGTTCAGGGTTTGAGGATTTTGTGCCCTGTTTGGGTACTGTTGGGTGGTGTTTGTTGGGGTATGTCTGTTTGGCTGTTTTGTTTTGTGTTTTTTTTGTTGTTTTTGTGTCTTTGTTTTCTGTTGGTTTGTGTTGGTTTGGTCTCTGTTTTGTTTGCCTTCTCTCTTCGTAGAGNTTTTTTTTTTTTTTTTTACGTTTGATTTGTTTTTTTTTAAAATTTCTTTGGGTTTATTAGTTATTTATTTTGGGTTTTTAATACATACGTTATTATGTACTCAACTATATCATGGCACGTGCATTGCATGTGCTTCTGACTAGTGTAATTATAAGAATAATAAATTTGTTATTTTCATTTGTGTTTTGGATGTAATTAATTAATTAAAAAAACTTACACCACATTGCAAGACAGTGCTTTATAGGTAGTTTTATGAAGTTTCTTAGGTAGGACGGTGGTGTTCGGGTTGTGCTTGGGCAATGGTGGTTTGGGTGGCAGCAGGTCGTCGTGATAGGGCTTTGATCGGTGGCAAGCTGGGTCTTTGGCTGGTTGAGGGCGGCGACCGAGGTATGGCTGGGGCTAGTATGGCCAGCCTCCGGTTATGGTGGCTGATGTTGCTTGTACAACGGCCTGGGTCCTTGTGTCATTTTGTTGTTCTCGCGAAGCCGGAGCTTCCAGGGCATCGGGGGCGGGGGCCTTCGCCCGAGAGGACCTTGTTCAAGGTTTGAGGATTTTGTGCCCTGCTTGGGTGCTGTTGGGTGGTGTTTGTTGGGGTCTGTCTGTTTGGCTGTTTTGTTTTGTGTTTTTTGTTGTTTTTGTGACTTTGTTTTCTATTGGTTTGGTCTCTGTATTGTTTGCCTTCTCTCTTCGTAGAGGGGCTGAAGTTTAGATAATGCCCGCCACTTGTGTGCGTGCGGGAGGGAGGGGGGAGGGTCTTAGTGCTGATTGCGTTAGTTGACTTATAATCGGGTTCCCTGATAAGTCACAGCTGTACTTCATTGTGTTCTGGATAGCATTTCAGATTGTGTGTTTCAAGCTATTTGGCTTGATTCGTCTGTAATCGGTTTATCCGTTTGATTGATGAAATGAATGTTTCTTATATAAAAAAAAATAATAATAATAATAATAAACAAAGACAATTTAAGTATACATAACGTGTTCCAATACCTACCAATTGCGTAATGGTTTTGCTAATCTCAAACATTAAAACAATACTTAAAGCAAAGAAAGGAAAAATATGGGCAACATTTGCTTAGCTTAACCAACCAAATTGTTAGGAAATTTTGCAACTACCATTACCTAATCAAAAATCTTAAGAAAATGCTTGAATTACTTAAAGATTTGAACGACGGAAATAAACGACGAGTACCAATTAAAATAATAAGGTCGTGCACGCATCATAATATAATAAAGCGTAAAATATAATTAAGAATTATTTTTTTTTGTTTTAGAAAAGTATAGTCTAAATGTAAAATGAATGCGAGACGAGGTAAATTTTCATTGAATCAAAATTATAATTAAGTCACTTGGTAATTTATGTGGAAATGTTAGCTTTCTACGAGATATTTGGTAGTATTATGTGAGATTTTTGATAACTAAATTGTTTTTAAAAATTTATGCTTTTAGATAGACTCGATGTTAAATATATATTTTCATAGCAAACAAATATTTTGAAATCAAAGCTTCGATATCGATCATTTATAAAAGTGTTACATGACAGCTTTTGTTAAAAAATTAGTCGAGACAACAATTGAAAATGTGGGTTAATTATGGCGAAAACTAAATAAAAATAAAAAGACAAATTTGAAATCTAAAAATATTGTACATACTTGTTAAAAGTTGAATTTTAACGATGCTTAAAACTTTTTATCGTAATTTGAGGTTTTTTAAACATAAAATTGAAGTACTATTTTGTTAGAAATAGGATGTAACCTGAATTCTATTTGGAAAGCTATTTGGAAATTCTATTTGAAGTCCAGTTGAAAATTCTAGTTGAAGTTTATTTGGAAATTTTAGTTGGAATTGAATTTGGGAGTTTGTATTATATTCCTAGTACGTTAGGGATCATAGTATTATATATATATGTGGTGTACAATACATATTACATCAATCCTTATATTTTACACAATAATTTCTAATCCTCCATTATTAATATTGATAAAATTCCGCTCTTCTGTCCATAGTACATTTTTATCATGTAAATCTTGTGTTTTTATTTGATCTATTTTTCATATTGTCATATTACTATACTCGTTTAAATCATGACACATTTATTAATAAATAATACCCTGAGGTCTTAGGACCAAAAAGATAAACCGAATTTACGAGGGAAGGATGGGTCGAAAGCGGATGAATTGTTGAATAATATTTGTGCCATGTGTCCAAGAAAAATTGATGCCAGCGCTGACGTAAGGAAGACATTGATAACCTAACCATATGTGTAACACCTAATTTATGCGAAAGTCAAGCAAGCTATAGGAACCCCCCTTAAATGCTGTTGGTTGTGCAGATGCACAAGTAGCCTATACTGCCTGCACTTATTAGTCGGACAAAAAAAAAACACAGACAAAACTTATCTTTTCTTTATCATTTCATGTATATATATCCTTAATTTCTTCATCTGAGAGTTGTAAGAAATTTGTGCATGCAGTAATATGAATGTCACTGAAGGGTCTGTTTGGCAGAGGAAAATAGAAGGGAAAATGGATCAAGAAAAGGAACAAACTACCAGCGTTTTTTCTCAAGATTCAGCGATGGGTTGCAAGAAAAAGATGGGAAAAAATAAAAGGAAAATTTATCCTCTTCTATCATTTCATGAATTACCAGATTATATGAAGGATAATGAATATATTATGAATTATTATAGAGTTAATTGGCCTCTCAAAGAGGCTTTCTTCAGCTTATTTCGTTGGCATAATGAAACTCTTAATGTATGGACGTAAGTACTGTAATTTTTCTCAGAATTTCCTTTTATTTTCATTTCTTTTCTGATAAAAATTGTGTTAATTACGATTTTTTATGTTAATTTTCTCTTTCTCTGTGCAGGCATTTAGTTGGATTTATATTCTTTTTGGGATTGACAACTTGCAATCTGATGCATGTCCCTCAAGTGGCAGATTTCATCACAATGTTTACAGGGTAAGTTCAAGAAATTTTACTTCATTTTCTTGATTTGCTAAGAATTTAAACTAAAACTTCATCTCATTAATTGATTTAAAACAAAAATTTATGAACTTACTAAAAAATACATGGATTTAAGTAGTGGGAAGGTACAAAAGCTATCAATGTGGAGAATATTTATTTCTTTATGTTTGTGTATAATATACATTCAACATGCTCCTTCATGTGCGCCATCGACGTTTTAATCAAAGATTTGGCACTTGAAACTTCTATACATGGGTGTCATTGACTTGACCTCAGGGTATTTATGGTTTTTTATGTCTGTGTTAAACTACTTGTCTAAAAGTTTAACTTGTTGGAAATGGAGAAATTTACTTCTTTATGTTTACATCTTTGGCATATAAAATTTTCTGGTATCTGGGATGAGGTAGGAATCGGCAAATCGAATTTTTTAGGGGGCTTTATTGATTGATGAATAAGGCATGTTCTTAATAATGTTTCAAAAAAATAAAATCAAGAAGCTTTTGCTGTGAAATATGGTGATTGTAGCCTATACTATAACATTGACTCGTCATTGTTGAAGAGCTTGTCAGTCAGAGATGGAATAAACTTATTTGGTTGAAGTTTATATTCACACGTTGGTGTTGACCTCAGATTCAACTGGACAGTGCTACATTGGCTCTGTACGTGCAGCATTATTCTGTCGTCAAATGTCTAGCATATGTACAATTTTCACAAATGAGTAATTACAAGACTTGAGCTCATAATCTTTATTTGCTTAAAAAAAATTGTTCAACAATCATATTGCTAAATTTTGTGCTTTTCAAGTGATGGTAACAATATATTTTCTTGTTTTACAGACATTTTCCTTCGAGTGCAGATGCTAATGTGTCTAATAATTCTAAAGGTTTTTCACTGGTGAGTACTTCCCAACAGTTCTACAAAATCATATTCGACTTGCTTAATCGAAAAACAAATTTTTAACTCTCCATCTTTTCAGGGGCAAAAAAAATTAATAGATCTGAAGCAAGAATCCCATCTGAATATGGATGTTACATCCCCAGAAATGGCTGCAGTAAGTTGGCCATTTTATGTGTTTTTAGGTGGTTCCATGTTCTGTCTCTTCTCAAGCAGCATTTGCCATCTCTTTTCCTGCCATTCCCATCACTTAAATTTTCTGCTTTTGCAAATGGATTATGTGGGAATAACTGTCATGATAATCACCTCATTTTTCCCTCCAATTTACTACATTTTCCAATGTACTCCCCACTGGCAAATTGTTTATCTTACTGGAATAACTATAATGGGGATTTGCACTATCATAACCTTGCTTTCTCCGGCCTTCTCGGCCGGAAAATATCGTGCCTTTCGAGCCAGTCTGTTCATGTCCATGGGGTTATTTGGCCTTATACCTGCAGTCCATGCTCTGGTTGTGAACTGGAACGATCCACACAGGAATATAACGCTTGCCTATGAGTCGGTTATGGCGCTGTCATATCTGATAGGGACTTTATTTTACATTAGCCGGATTCCTGAGCGGTGGAAACCCGGGTGGTTCGACCTCGCCGGTCACAGTCATCAGATATTCCATGTGTTTGTGATCATGGGGGCATTGGCACATTATGGTGCTGCACAAATTTTCTTGAGGTACCGCAGTAGAATGGGGTGTGACTAAAACTTGATTGTTCTGTTCGTGTGTTGTGTGAAGAAGGCTTATTATAACCCTTACAATATAGATAAAAGGACACTGTTGCCTATAGATACTACATAGAAAGAATGAATGTACAATTACAAAACAGATTTAAATGTAAATTTAACATTATTCTTGTTTTTATTTTATTCAAGTGCATTTATCTTGTTGCTTAAATTTAAGTCTGTTCAATACAAAATAGATATCTATGTTTTGTTGAATCAAATTTAAGTAGTTAGGCATCGATCTTAACTATACTTTTCTCTAAACTTAAAAGCTTGACTTTCTGGTTTGAATCATGATTTTTGAAATGTAAAGTTAATGCTATTCATAGCGAAAATTATTTGTAATCGCCCCACGTATCATACATATGACAATTTATTATTTAATACATTAATATAATTGTTTTTTATTGCATCATTCATCTAATAAAATATAGGGTGTGTAATTTTTCTTTCTATTATTTTGAAGAAATAAAATTGAAGAAATTATTATGGGCTTACGCCCAAAAATTTTGAAAAATCAAATGAAGAGTATTTTGGGAAAAAAAAATACTGTTTAAAATTAAGTATCACTTTTTATTAAAAAGTGATGTTTGTCCCTTAAAAAATGTTAGAAATTTCGAGAAAGCGATAGAAAAAAAGTAAAAAATACAGAGTAAAATTAAGCAATACAATATTACTTTTTTATTAAAAAAAAAGTTACTCAATATCACATTTTTATTAAAAAATGGTATACAATGTTACTTTGATTAAAAAAAGTTATATTCGTTACTCTTAAAGTAACAGAATTTTTTAAAAAGTGACAAACACTAGAAAAGCAACATAATAAAAAGTTATAAACACTCAAAAAAGTAACAAAACACAAATTAAAACATTGGAATAAGTTTAATAAAATGACATAAATAAATAAAAAGTGACAAAACTACCGTCCGTCTTTCTCCGTTCAATGCCAAGTATCCTCGAGTCAATTCACCGCCACCGTCATCTACCAACTCAACTAACCCATTAACATTCCCTTAAGTCAATCTTATTCGAATTCGATGCTCAATCAAGAAAGAATGAAATTTAGTAATTAAAAAGAAAATAAATGAGCAATATAAATGATTTTTGTTTCCGTGACATTAAATAAGGAATGGAGCAATTTAATTAAGTGACATAAGTTAAAAAAAGTTACAATCCCTACTATATTAAAAAAGGCAACCCACAGTTCACTATTCATTTGTGAAACATTTTTTATTCTCATTTTATCCATAGCCATCCTCCACTATCCACCCACAAAACTTTAAAACAAAAGGGTAATATGGACTTTCTCATACCCACAATTGTTGACTCTTCTTATCAATCCACCATTTACTGTTCATTTGTGAAGTATTTTTTATCACATCTTATCCATAGCCATCCTCCACTTTCCATCCACGAAGCTTTAAAACAAAAGGGTAATATGGACTTTCTCGTACCCACAATTGTTGACTCTTCTTATGTCTTCGAAAATAAAGGAGAAAGAAAAAAATGGAAATCAACCATTTACTATTGGTAGTCAATTCTAAACTTAATTGTATCCCTGCTTGCCCATCTTATCCATATCATCTGAAATGGCAACTTCTTTCACAAGTTCTTTGCTTCAGACAATAATATCAAATTCATCTTTGTTAGCAAGGTAAACGGAGATTACAATTCAATACTAAATCGTATATGCTTTGTTACGTTTATGCTTTATGTAGAATTTTGGACTTAGTTAATTGGATCATCTTTGAAGTCTTCTCTTTCTTTCTTTTTCCTCCTGGCCGCCTTAATATTCGGTGTTGTACAAATCTCTCTCTGCTTTCCTTGGTTGTTTATTTGGAATTGTTCAACAGTTTAAATTCGGATGTTAGTGCCTGTCATTGTTGTAAAGGGATGCGGCTAGACTCACGAGTCTTTTATGTTAAGACTCGGGTCTGTATATTTCTCATAATTTTCGTCCTTAATATATTTCATTCATGTATTAGTGGGGATGGACTTCTTTTTTCTTTTTTTACTATTTTTTATATTCTGAATTCAAATATAAAAATTGTAAATATTAATGTCTAACAGAATTGAATGTTTTCAAGAATTAATATGATTTGTAAATGAATGCGAGCTTTTGTAATTTTTATCAATATTTTTGAATTAAATTATTAATAATTGAAATTGTATTTAGTTTGTCTAAAATGTAAGTAAATGTTATCATTTAAATTTAATTAAGTAAAATAACGAAATGTTTAATTTTTAGCTAAAACATAAGAAATAGATGGCTCTGTTCTCTTTGCTGTTTTCAAGTCGTTTTCTGTTTTTGATTTTTCAAAACAGTGAAAACGCGTTCTCTTTCCTATTTTCGAAAACGTGTTTTCAAAAACAAAAAAAAAATTGTTAAGAAAACTCAAAACGTGAAAAATCACGTTTTGGGCGTTTTGAGACAAAACACGCAAAGAAATGAAAACACGGAAAACGGTCTATTTTTCCACTTTCTTCTTCCCTTTCTTGAGCTACCAATATGCCGCCTCCTTCCATAAGTAACAACCACCACCCGCCATCCAATCCGTCGGACCCACACACCATTGGCACCCCTCACCTCCCTCTACAACCTCTGACCATCGCCTGCCCACCAGACCGCCGGAAACAGCACCAATTTCCATCCAAAATCGCGAGCATAGTCACGGTTTTTTCCCAATTACTTCCACATTCGGCCACCATCTCGATCGTGGAGCACCACCACAATATTACTCTCAACCAGGCGTATCTAGTTCTACAATGGGTCACCCTCAATTTCGTCCAGAATCGACTGAGCTTGTTGGAGCAGTCTGTGAGATTTGTGAAAATTTTGGGTCCAACTTCTGTTGATGTTGTTCTGAATCTTGAACCAGCTTTGGGCAGCCCACTTCTACAAATCGTGATATTCGCCCAAGTTTTATACTTTTCTTGATCTTTCTTTAAATTTGCAGCTTATTTTTATTTTCTTATTTTTGGGAGCCTACGAACTACAATTCTCCCAAACCCAAGTACTTCTGCAGCTAAGGAAGCTATTGAAATCCCTTAGTTTGGTATCATTAGGCATTTGGGGTTCAAATGTTCAATCCTCGTAAAAATTTGTAGATTGCAGTCACTTGAATACTTGGACTTGAGTTGTAATTTTCTATATGGTTCTATTCCTCAAACACTTTGAAGAATTGGTCAACTTTAGATTGTTACATTAGATGGGAATTTCTTAAATGGAACCTTTCCCGAATAATGGAACAATCTGTGATGTTTCTGTGTTTGCCTTGCTACTCTATTTTTGGACATGATAATTGGTGGCTTCAAAGACTGTCGGCCTACTTACTATTGTTAGTCCTATATTTATTCATTTGTCTTTGATAAATGAGAAAGTGAAGATTCTGTTTAGATTTTTAATTTGGATTCCTGAATAATACTTTTAATCGTTGGGCCTTTGATGAGTTGCATGTCTCCCCAAGTCAGTGATGAGGGATATTGTTTCATATGTACATCGGAATTGACATGGAGCAGTATTTTACTTATATAATTATATGCTCTTTTTGCCATCTGTTCTTCAAATTATGCATCAGTGAATTGGAATTGACATGGAGCAGTAGTTTACTTATATAATTATATGCTATTTTTGCCATCTGTTCTTCAAATTATGCATCAGTGAATGCATATTTCCTTTTTCGCTCGCTTTCTTCTCTCTGCAAACACTGCTGTTGTATGTAACTGCTGACCTGATGTGGCAGTGATGATTAGGTTAGGAGAGTTCTATATGGACAAACCCATGGTCAGTCAGGATGGCTACAAGTTCTGATGAAATGTTGGGATGTCTTCCCTTCTCTTTATGAGCAGAGTTATGAACCTTTGTGATGTAGAGAACCTGTGGCAGTCATTCAGATTTAAGAATGATGCTGGTTCAGACTCAGCCTCTCCTCACTTTTCTTGTGTGACTTTTCTCAAAATTTTGAATACGTTCTATACCTTTTTTTATCCTTTCTTTCAGTTATTGGCATTGTTCTCTCTATATAAAAACTCAGTCCAAGTAAAAAACACGATAGATCAGAACATAACCAGAGATATGAAGTGGGGAAATTCTCATTCGAGAACTTGATTTGTATGGTTTGTCAATTCAGTTAATGAAATGGAATTACCACGCCATATCATTTTGTCAAACAAAATAGTGTGCATCGTGCTTATGTTATCTATCATGAAATAGGAAGTTGTTGAACTTTCAAGTAGTTTGTTATTTGGCAACTAGCTCTAGTACAACATTATCTCTAACTTTATACTCCCCAAGGTAGAAATCTCTTTTGTATGATAAGGCCTAATAGTTATGTTTGTACTTGGTATTATAACCATGATACTTGAATTTAATCAGTTTTTATGTAGTTTTAATAGATGGACAGATGTTCTAACGTAGTTTTTTCCATTTTTCCATTAATGGCTTCTTTTGCATTAATGGCTCTTCCCAGGTTCAGAACACCTGGTGGAGTTGTGTTCTGTTCTTCTGTGACTTTTGGTTTCTTGGCACTAGGGAGAGCTAGATTTGCAATAAATCACATGGATGTTGCTCCAAGGTATGCAGGAATTGTAATGGGGGTTTCTAACACAGTCGATACCTTAGCTGGCATTATTGGGGTTGATCTTACTAGCCGACTTCTTGAAGCCACTAAGGCTGCTCAGTTGAATCTCACTAGTCCGGATAGCTGGAGAGCAGTTTTTATCATCCCAGGGTCACTTTGTATCTTTAGCTCAATTTTGTTTCTTCTATTCTCCACTTTGTATCTTTAATTGGAATTCTGAATTTGTTAAATAATTCCGAGAAATTGGAACAAGAGCACGCTGAGAAATGTTGTATTTTTCCATTATAAATTTAATTTACCTAGTGCTTGTAAAAAACAATGTGTGCTTGTGAAAATTAACATATATCTTGTAGTTGTTTGCTACTTCAAAATATATCTTTGCACAATCCCTTATGATAAGCTAGTAGAATAAATTCTAAGAGGTCTTGTAGTTGTTTTATAAGTAGGATTTAGTTAAAATTTCGACATGTTGAACTACCTTACCTTCGGTAAACCAATCTTCTTTTTAGAGTGCCTTGTTATAAAGTAATGTTGCTAATGTCTTCTTTCCAGGTTGATTTAAAAATCTTCTTGTTGTTAAATAATATAGCTCGTGTTCACATTGAATTTCTAGTCGCCCTGTTCTTAATGAAGGGAAGCACTATCATTGTTTTCAGGAGATTTGAAAGGATATTATGTTGATCAAATTGTTTAAATATTGCTTTGGATTTGTTCAATTCCATTTTTATTACTGTGAGATTTATCCTTTTTAGCTCAAATTTAATGTTTATTTCAATATATAAATTTGTTTATCTCACAA